CATAACTTTCATTCTCTCAAACTCAAAACACTCGAAAGATCTTTACACTAGCTTTTAGCGTAGCGCACTGGGTATTAAGTCGACCAAAACAGAACCAGAGCCCCTTCCTCTCCTGCCGGAACACGGACCAGAACAGGAGACCGATGCTTTTCCAACCCAAGAGGAACCAACAGATACAGCCACGGCCCACATGTGCTATGCCGCAATCATGCAACCCTCCGGCAAAACGTTTTCCGACCAAACAGACCGCTTCTTCATCCCTTCCAGCACCGGCAATAACTATCTCTTTGTGCTATACCACTATGACAGTAACTCCATCCATGCAGAACCAATGACGAATCGCACAGCCAAGTCCCATGTCAAAGCCTACACGGCCATTACAATACAGGGCTATTGCAAGATTTGCCCATCCCCCAACAAAAGCAGCAAGCAGCAAACTAAAATATCCATGACTGGATGACTCCTGACTCAACCAGAAGCCGTGGATTTGCGATCTTTTGACTTCTTGGGAACTCCATTGCTGCAGCTGCTGGCTTCGTCGGTTCAGTTCATCACTACGAAACAGCACAATCAGACCCTCCAAGCGAGTTACCTGAACAAGAAGTAAGTGGTAGAGACTGCTGCCGCAAGAAGATGAACCCAGCAATGATGAGGACTGTTTCGGTGACGGCGCGGCGATTGCTGATGGCCAACAACCGACCCGTTCTGCAACAATTCACTGCCGTTCGTGGCTATCGAGGCGACAGCGGTGATGGCGAAACCAACTTGTCGGCCGCAGAAGAGGCATTGGTCCGCAAGGGCAAACCCGTCGACGAGGCGATTCGTGCCCGACACGTTCGACCAGTCCAACTGAAGGAGTTGTCTCCTCAGAATTTGGCAGATTTGCAGGCGAATGCTTCTGGCAGTGGAACCAGCACGCAAGACTTGGAGTTGGAAATTCGCCGCAAACGATTGATTTATCGTGCCAAACAACGTGGCTGGTTGGAAGTCGATATCCTGTTGGGAGCTTGGGCGAGTGAAAATGTTCCACAATTGGAAGGAGATGAATTGGATC